TAAGCGAATTTAGATAAAAATATCATTGAAACAAATTTCCGAAGATTTTATGAAAATGAAGGATATTTCCATGTTATTGAGGTTTTGATTTAAAATGGTTGCAAAGGCGCTAGAGACATAATTCCCCCTCCTTCTTTGGATTACGTGAGTATGGTGGGTAACTAAGACCACGATAGATATTATCGTCACGCTAATAACCGAATTTCGTAAGTCATTTTTAGCAGTTTTGAGAAAAACGTAAAAAACTTCCTAATGATATTGTTATGCCATTGAGAGTCAATACTTTGCCATGGTTCAATTTTTTGATCGTAGCCGGATTTAAGTTAATTTGTATGACGCAGTTAAGTGACGTCATAATGGCGCACTGTGACTTAGGCAGAAATGTGTCTATGACTTGGGACATACGCAATTTTGCAACTTTATTATATGCACCAGTCCTGAAAACTAAACATTCCAAAAACGAATGTAATTCTCAGTATCTACAATGTCTATTCCCAAAAATAGCTAATCAGTTTTAATTACATTATTTTTTATGTTTAAAAATATATATTCTTTCAATATAACACGTTCTGCACACCCACCGAAATAAGACTAAGAATAAATATAAAGAATAAAACAGCAATGCACCCAATATAAAAGCCAACCAAGGTGAATTGGACTCGGACAGTGAATATCGCAAGTGTACGCCCCCCTATACTGTAGTATAAATTCAAATTAATACGCGCTAAGCTAGAATCCGAGATGCAAAAACTCGAAAATCCTTCGCCGAGGTTATTTTGCCTTTGTGACGTCACAATAGTCCGGCGGTAACAGTGATAATTCATTATGACGAAACAATTGCACAAATGTGCATGTCATACTAAATCTCCATTTTTATGGGTTTCGGAATTCTTAAAATAAAATCTGAGTTAACAGACAGGTGCGCAGCATTACATGAATACCTATTTTATAAAAAAAAAACTCAAAATCGCCAAAAATGACTTACGCAATTCGGTTATTAGCGTGACGTTATATTATATAATTTTTGTGTAAAGGTATGGTAATATAATATAATGAACTAAATTGAAATATGGGAAGTGTTAATGAATTTCAATTGGTATGTTTTACTCGATCTACAAAGTGAATTCAGGTGTTCTTGTTTAGACAGGAGAAAAGTACATATGTCATTTTTTCCACAAATTTTCATAATAACGAATGCATGAGTAAGCCAGGTGGAGTTTATGCGTGAAAATTATTGTCTCGAAAATTCAAATAAATTGCCGCATTATTTACAAGATAAGATGTGTTTTGAGATAAGACCGTTATGATAGAATATTTTCAGAATATTTTGGAACATTGTGGCGTGCTAATGCTAAAATACTGAAAGACATTAGAGTATGTGTTTCGATAGTGAAAGGCTGGCTTTGAGAAGTTAGACAGTTAGTTAGTAAGATAAGAAACAGTAAAGTGTTTGCGGCGCTAGGTACGTTTTGCGATATGAATTTCTGGTATTTTTCGATAAATTATAGATGTTTAAGCCGAAATTGCCTTGGTGTTATGAGCCTTTCTATTCGATACAGGTATATGGTGATCATCATTTTTTCAATTTAAAACATTAACGCAAAAAGTCTACGTATAGAAAAGTATTGGAGTACGGCACGTTTTATTTTACTCTGTTTCTTTGTTAACCACGGCAAGAGTTTACCATTATTGTAAGCAGTTTTCGGCAATATGTACAATCTAGTTGAATTAACTATTGAATAATTTTACCTTGTAATCCAATACAATTAAATAAATACATTATCAATTGGCAGTTAACAAAATTCAATTCATAAATCAATCCATATTTAATCCTGCGGTGCCGCGAATGAAAGGCATACGTATCCTGGTGCTTGAAACTGCGCCAATTATAAGCACTATAAAATAATAATTCATCAGCGCAAAATCATATAAGAATAGTTATTGACACAAAAATTCAATCGATACCCCATTATGGCCCACGAAGTGGACCAAAAGATCCTTTTAATATTATATTGTTGTTGTTAGAATTCTTTTCTTGTCATTATGTAAAAATTATCTTTCTCTTTAATTACTGGACCAGTTGCTTTAAAATTGTCACTGGTTAAAGATTGTTGTTGTCGCCAGAAGGCTATTACTTTTATTTATTTTGAAACTTTTTGTGGGCGTTATGGGATTTGCATTTTTTCTTTGTGTGTGTGTGTGTGTGTGTGTGTGTGTGTGTGTGATTACGTCATCAAAATTTAAAAAAATTGCGCATATTGTGGTGGTTCGACGTTCGCGCTCGTTGCGAGTTGTTGTGGTTCGAAGTCACGAGGATTACGCTTCCTTACCGATTCCGTGGAAGTTTAGATACCGGTACCCGTACTACACAGGTTAGGTGCGTAAGATAGAAAGGAGGCCTATAAAAAAACTATACGCATATGCATATGATATATTAACAGAACATTCTACCATTCCGCTTACATAATATCCAATTTAAGTTTAAAATCACCTGACATTTGGAAATAGTTATACAGTTAGCACCTCTTTAACTGTTTTCATGATTCATATTTCCAATTATGCATAATTCTAAAACTGAAAAAAGTCATAGACCAGGAAAGACGAAAATAATATTCATAAAAAAAAATAGATAGTAACTTACAAAAATAAACATAGTAAAAATCCTCGTATCATATAATCGCGAATCACAGAGTAAGGGAAGCTTGAAATCCTTTTATACTGTTCCTAAGCTACTTATAAACGCGACGTTTTGCCGTAATATTCAACAACTTTACCCCGTGTAGTTTTGATAACGTCGTTTGTTTGGAGATTAAACGAAACGGCTGCAAGATTGAAATAAAGGCTGCTTTATAAGCATGGATTATGTTATGCCCAAATTTAATTGTAGTTGAATTATATATTCAATGAAAATAACGCAATGGGTTAGTTAACTTTACTTTTATTTTAGCAGTTCTGTCATAAATAACAACATAACATTGTACTAACTGACTTTCCATTGAATTCCTTGTGTCAGATTTTCGTTTTACGTATTTGAAACACCATGAATGACCGTGATTAATTAGTTTTGAATATTTGTGGACCACGTATGAATCAGGAAAAGTGTTTTCCTTTTTGGTACAAAATGTTGCAGTTGCTGAGAACCACAGTTGCTAAGTAAATAAATAAATTTGTGAAGTTAAAGTTCTCAATAAATTTTCGATTTTTTTATAATAGCGTCTATATACATACATAAAATCAATTGTATTATATCTGCTTGCGTGACCCCAAACTATAAATCCGCTTCATCGTATAGTGATAATATGACGTATAGTTACTGTATTGTGTACATTTCTTCTTAGCTTAGAAAGTCGACACCGTTTTGAGTTTAAGGATATTTGTTTTATCAAAAATATAACTAATTTAAGATTATGGAAAGCTAAATCAGGTCAGGCAGCTTTCGATTTCGTAATGTAATTTCGTAAACTCTAATCAGGAAATGTAATTCAGAAAAACCAAGCCAAAATTGAATTCTAGAAGTATAAACCAGTGAGACCATTTATTTTGAAAAATTAAAATATTTTAAACCGTTGTTCATATTAAAACTGTAGATCGAATTAGGAGCGTGAATCCCTACATAAGCCAGGCTCCTAGAGAAGAAACGGCTTCAAGCTATGTCAAAAAATGGCTATGGACGCTATAGTAAAGCTGGAGCCGGTATAGTTAAGATATAACCAATATTTGGATGAGAACCCACCATAGCCTGTTGGCTGTAGCAGTTCTAGATCGGATATAGCTTGACTATAACACTGCAGCTTGGCCATGACGACGGGTGTTCGGCTATAGACATTTTCAAAAGAATTCATCCAATTTTCATAAGACTAGACTTGAGTCAAAATAGGGCTTTGGTATTTTTAATCCAAACTCCAGTTCTCATAGCTTTATTGTTCACAATACTATTTTCATGCCGTTTTTGGTTGTTTGGAAATCACATTTTTTATCATTTCGAGGTTTGAAAATTCGATAGCTAGGTTGTTCATTTCTACATTTATTCCCTTTGCAATATAGCGTGTCAATGGTATCTGGTTAAAGAGGAATTTCCTTAAAAAATGTGGTGAGGATTTCTCGCTATTTATTTGCATATACGTATGTATAAAAATATTGTCAACATGTATATAAATAGATAGCTTTTAAAGGTTAACGATAGAAGTTGATGTAACTGTTCCATAAAAAATAATCTTGGTAGGAATATTTTACCTGGGAAAAATTACAGTGTTAGGAATAATTTATCGGTTTGTTGGACTGAAGATTTTAAACAGTTAGAGAACGAATTCAAAATATTGATCCGATGTATATTCAATACCTTTAATCATAAAATACTGGCAACGTTCAAACCATTCTCCTGTGATCACTGGAATAAAAGATCGACTTAAAACTTGCGACAGATTTATTCTATGCTAAGCAAGTTTATATGCCAAATAAAGGATTGCTACTGGGAAAAGTTAATTCCAATAACATTAGAATGCGAGTAGATTTACTGCGTATTGAAACAAATGATCTGAAAATTTAGTATTGCTCTACATGTATAATTGAGTGGAGAATTTCTTATTACCGCCTGGGATGTATTGATAGTTCTATCAATGCGAAACCATTAGTCGAATGTGTGTGGGCCTAATTACGATTCTTGTTCAATGAAGAATTAAAAGATATATATACAGGATATTCAGAAATTCTTGAAAATCATTTAAATTGTGAAGGGAGTTTATTGATGCAATTTATAGCTTGTTTTTTTCCAAACGAATGTAATATATGGAGTAAAAAGCTCGAATAAACACTGTGTTCAGAATATAATAACAAACCCGGTAAAGATATATCGAGAACTGACTTCTTATCATCATCAATTGTAACGCGACGCACAATGTGAGCACACTGTATATTGCGGTCTGGCTGAAATCAAACCAAAATACTGATTTATGTACTTGTTTCTTTTTACCGTGAGCTATTTAGAAATATAGACAAATATTTAGTTTGTAAGAATGCTCAAAAGATGAATTGTTCCAATTTGTATCTCCAAATCAAAATGATCAATAATTGAGTAAAACTACTTCAAGGGGAGAATCAATATCACTGTGGATAATATTTTATTTGGATACCACTGTAGATTTGTATATATTATAACGCCAATATGCCTTCAGCAAAGAACGGTATGTGGGGAGTCGTGAGAGGTAAGAATTTTTCTTGTTTGTCCAATTAGCTCAACTTTCTCTGTTTGCTTATCGTTTTCTTATATGCTGCTGTGAAATACTCTTTCGAATGCTCCATCAATACAACAAGATTAAACTTTGATATTCTTGTATGGAAGAAATGGATTTTTCATATTATTATTGAGCAGAGGAATGTCAATAAGATGGCTTAATCAGATGGCGAACAACAACCTCTCGTTCAGTTTCCAATCTTTGTCGGTAATGGGAATAGTTAGCCAGATATTTGTTTTAGATACATGATCCTGGAGAAAACAGTAACCGTTATGTAAACCACTCTTCGGCGGCGAGAATTTTGAGCATCCTCTCGCACATAATTATACCCCATCCCACATTTTTTATTTGTAAAATTGCTCCTATTTTTGAATGTCTCCATATTAATAGAAGTGCTGTTCTCATTGCTTCTTCCCTGGTTTATTCCTCATAACCAAGCAATCGGATGCTCCGAAAGCATTTCATTTTTATCTACTTCAATCATAATGTATGAGTGGTTGAGTGTAGGTATATCTATATATATGATTTATTCGTCAGTGTATTTTTTAAATGTCCAGTTTTATAGTGTTTTGTTGTTGTTTTTAAATCGAACATTGATCGCCCGACATGTGAAATTAGGTAGCAAAATATGCATAAAATTCTGGTCATTCCACAAACCCAATAGCTCTCAACATATTAGTGACTACATGTTAAGAGCCTTCTTTGTTTGGAGTGGAAAAAGACTCTCAAAAACATGCCATAACATAAATTAGCTGTATTTTACAAGATCCCAAGACCCGAATAAAGCATTTGAATAAAAATAACGTCAAATGTATTGTGATTGGTTTTATGAGTTGTTATGATAAAAGTTTTGAACGATCCATAGTACCCATTCCTTTCCATTTGTAAGGCAATATTTTAACATGTTTGTTGAAATTGGAGATACCATTGATGTACTCCGGCTTATCCCATTAGCGATTATTCAAGCATATAATGTTATATCCGTTTATTGGAAACGCCTTATATTTTGTCGGTTTATGACATGTTTTAATATCAGTCGCAGACATCCCGTCTGATAATAAATGGCCTAAACTACCTTTCGTATGTGGGCGCTAGAGTTTTTTGAATTACTAATTTTCGTTCGATCTTTGAAAGCTCTTTTTAAAAATTAAACGTCGCTTCGCTACTTTCAACCTCGCATCTTCATGACGCATTAATTCTCGCTATTTTCTTGTAATTAATATTGACGCTTTCATACTTATAAGCGTGACTGACTTTGGAAAGCACTCGCACTTGAATCACGCGACCGATTGCTCTTTTTGAACTTTCCAAATGCATCAATGAATATTTAAAGATGAATTTTAAAGTATTTAATTTCTATTAATAAACATCATTATACACTATATCATACATGGACGGTGAAGCGCAAGTTAATTTTATTTAGTAAACATATGGATTTTTATTTCAACCATATAGCCTACTTATACAAATTTACCAGTAAAGACAGGCCGGTCTTCTTTTATTGTCATTGTCATAATATGGTGAAATTGTCCATAACTTATATTTTTCAATCGGCGCAAGTTCATCAAACGCCGTTTCCTTCTTAGGATAATATGGCGGGTACCAAGTAATCCGAACGGAACGTGCTATTATGCGAAGGACCAGTGCCAAGGGAGCTGATTAGAATCGGGAAACACTACCACAATTCGTCTACCACAACCTGGTAACGATTAATAAACTAACGGTGACTGACACGGAATGCAGCGGCGGGTTGTGAACATGGCCCTTTCAATTATGGTCTCTTGACCATGGAGAAATCACGCCCCTTTCTTTTGTGTATGTTACCCAGCAATCATTCTCTAAATTGACTTGTATTTGGCTCTGAATCACATTAGCTTTGTCCAGTGCAATTGCGGTCGGTCAAACACAAGGATGTCGTCTGAATAAGATTTTGTGGGTTGCGTTTAAGTGAGTTTTTTACTTCAGGGTAAGCAATTATGGAAAAATATTGACAGCAAAACTATGGGAGGGTTTGCAGTTTTTAACGACTGCATTTTATCTCGTGTTATATGTGTTGGTTTGAACTAATTTAACCTATAGCCAGTATGTTATTTCCCTCATATATATCCAAATTCTCAGAGTCAGAATACTCCAGAAAACAATTAATCGCTGTCTTGCTGGAGGAAGAGCCACCTTAAAACCGAAAGTCGTAAATTGCAGCAAATAAAATTTCGTTTTTTCAAATAAAATCTCTATATTTCGTGTACAATAATCAAATAGGGGTGTTTTTTCTTCTTTTTCAATTTATACTGTACTCTGTATGTGCAGTACGTTTTAAGCTATGTTACACGGATCATATTTTACTTCTTAATTTGCAATGATTGTATCGATCCACGCATAATTAAGAACGAATATCGTACGCATGGAAAAAATATATATACCAAATGTATAATGCACAACTATTTTGCATATACGTTTTGAGAAGGCTTTTAAATTCGATAATCCCTAGACATGGATTTTGTGCACTGACTGACTGTACGGGAGGTGTGTTTTCTTTCTGAAAGACATTCGTTTAGTTCTCTTTGATTATATAATATATTACCTGGAGCTAACAGTCGGCGTGTTATTTAAAATTGTCGTTTTTGGATCACAACTGACTAAATCTTGTTCCTTCCACTTTATTAAAAGAGCAAAAAGGGGTAACTGGGAAGTAATTACATATTGAGGCTTCGACATTTTGGAATGGCATTTATCCTTTCATATTTCTCATTTTACACGCTTGTCGGCTTAGACGAGAGTTTGATTTGTTTAGAATTAGAAGGAAAACTTGAATCGGGGTATTTTGGCAGTTGGAGAAACCGCGTAAGTATCTTTGTACACTTCTCATCGCCCTGGCTACATTTACGCTTTTGCATTGATAGCCAATATCGCAATCGCATTAGGTCTTACTCCTGATCGATCTCTTTCTACTTTACTCACTTATCGCGTACAATTACCGACAATTAAATTAAGATATTACAGCCAATCAAGACGTGTATTTAAGTAGGCGATATGCTAAAATGAAAGTCATATTCAAACCGTCTGCTGACGACATTAATATTCAATGCGATTACTTCGATCCCGGTATGATCATCCTTTTGAAAAATTCATCAATTTGAGACAATCCGTTCGAAAAGATATAATTTCGTTGGCTACCTAATACGTCGCTACAACTTTGACCTGATGATATCTGATTACTTTATTCGACATAGAAATAGTAAGCTAAGATTTCAAAGCTGTGAGTTGTATCAAGATTGTGATGATTTCATTTAATGATTGTTTCAAAATTTAGTTTGTACGACTACTTTGGACGTGGAAAATATAAGTTATGAATAAAAAAAGAAACATTTAGTTCTGGGTTATCAATTTTAAATTCCCAATCTTTGCAGAGTTGTTTTTTCAAGTCAAAATGCTAATATTAAAATAGGTTAAAAAGTCTTGACAATTTAGTGATTATTTAACCCCTGTCGTACGCATTAGGAGGTACTTCTGAGTGAGATTGCGTGATCTAACTTCGAGCAAATTGTTTTGAAAGGGAACAAAATGATAGAGGGTGAAGATAGGATACTGTTTTTTTTAAAATGAAATTGGAATGTTAGCTAATGAATAATTTTTTTGACTGTTCCGACTGTTTTAGTTGGGGCTTTGTAAAAATCCCAACACAGTATACTTCGTTGGCTAGAATAATAGGAAGACTTAGGGCACTATAGCCTAGATAAGGGGTGTGCAACAGGCGGCCTGCGAGCTGCAACCAGACCCGCCAAACCATTTATTGTTGCCTTTGTCAACACTCAGATTTTTCACCATCAAGCATAGTATGATAATCCGACAGTTTATGTTTGAAAAGGTGCTTAGATGGGTAAAAATACATAATGTTTTTTGCTCCTGTCGCTTCGTTGAACCATTTCTCCGTTTTGCCCGGTGCCTTTATTATTGTAATGCCAAGTGATAACCGCATTCTCTACCTCGCCCTTCACGGGGCGATCTGGTTGTCGCTAATGTATTTTGTCAGTTAAGGGTTACTACAACTTCTGTCAAAGATGATATTACCCAACTATGCGAGAAATCGAAATTTCAAGTGTCCCACTAAAATCTTAAATTAATAAAATGCATTGTGAGAATTTTTTAATCTGGAATTTTTTGCGTGGCTCAGCTACATGTCTGAAGGTGGTTATATGGCCCACCCACAAAAAAGTTGCACACCCTTGACTTAGATCTGAAATCAGTCAATTAATTTCAATATAATGTTCAAAAGGAACTAGAACTGCATTATATATCGAAAACTTCTGTATGGATTTAGCATTTGCATTCTGTATGTACACACAAGATAATCCCAGCTAAACCACAAAAAAATCGTTACATCTAATGTCGTACCGCACAACGTAAAATTCTTGTTCCGAATTTCGCGCTACAGATGTTATTATTCGACTTTAACGCAAAAATATGTGTTTTTTTGTCTACATCTCACTTTCTTATAACATTTTCAACGTTCTCAATTGCATTTACAATGCGTTGACAGTTATAGAATCATAATTCTTATATTTTCAGCCGCTCAAGTCACTCGAGCTTCATTTCTCGGTAAAGGAAGTTACGACAAGGACGCGAAAAAGAAGAACAATAGCAAACCACGTCGATCAGTGTCTGCGGTATTTGATCCAACAACGGGGGAATATTACCATGATCCTTACTATCCGTATAGCCCTTCTACTACAAGTCCAAGAAGCTTAGAGGCTATATACGAAGAAGGACCGTTTGATCAAAATCACAACTCTCGCTCAAGGACCCGGTATAGTACCTCCGATCTTCAAAACTATACAAATAACCGTTTTTATGATAATCCCGCTTACGTGAGTGACAGTTCCACTGCAAACAGGCGGGCGACATTATCAAATGTATCTGACGTCTATTACGCTCAGAGACAGACGTCTTTTCCGCAGCATCCACCAGCTTATGAACCGAATCTTCATTGGAACACCGCTAGAAACAAATCATCGGTTTCTAAACTTGGACAATCAGTGAAGGTATGTGATAAATATAACTTGGTTTTTTGTGGCACGACTCTTTGTTTTGAAGGGGATGTACAGTAACTTAATTAAATCGCTTCGGGTTGGAATTTTTGTAAACTAATAACAAATTATGTTATTTTGCACCAATATTTTCAAACTTGAAAATATTGCAAATTTACCTTTTGTTAAATATAGATTGGTTTTGTCATTAGAATGAATACATATAGCAAATGTCGATGGAACAGTTAAGGAACAACCTACTTTAGTACCTGACTATCACAACTTGAAACGCGAATATTTGTTTTGAATTCATCTGAATAATATTTGGTCCTTTTCTGTTCCTATTTAAATAAAGCAGTGGCACTAACGATTACTTTCAAGGAGCCGACTTAAGCATATGCTATATTTATTTGAGCGCACCGAAGCCGCGATAAATTTCTGCTTTTATAATTTATGTATTCAAGATTCCAATGGGAAAGTATTGCTTGCAACTATTGCTGGTCACTGAAACAGATTTTTGTCACAAGTCACTCACTGGTTTCATATTTAGTTTATACGTAGTCACATTCACTAGTAATTCTCCTCATAAACCGAGTATAATTACTCTCTCCAATACAGCTGGTATTCGTGGTGGAAATTTATAGGAGTCGTTATTGCAAGCTCGAGGTTGGGCTGATAGTCTAAAATCGAAGTTTGGATTTGACGCTGTGGGGGAGACTAAAATAACTTAAAAAAGTGAATGACTTTTGTTATCTCGACGGCGTGTGGTCACCCGTTAACAAGGAGAATCAATGACAATATTCTCGAAATTTTTTCGTTTCGTCAATACAAACTCAAGCGCAACTCCGATAATTCAGGTCTGACTAGTGCATTTTGAACATATTCTTAGTTTGGCATAATGGTTGAAGGCTCTGATAGACATTGTACCATGTATGAGGCTATTCTATCCTTATACTGTACTGTACTTACTTTATAAATTAATCTAAAGATAGGGCTATTAATAGTTAGACTAAGTAACTTGACCGAATGGTAATCGCGAAGATATTAGAAAAAAAGAGATTAAAATTTATATCAGCTAATTATTAGGATGCTCATAATAATATGATCGGTCTAAAATCAATATTTTTCAGAAAAAGTTTATTGCTGTTAAACAAAGTGTGATATTTGGCAAAAAATAATTATTTTTTCGCGTGGGTTAAAATAGACTGTTTCAACGCTGCTGCTATGCGAACTTCGATTTTTCGTGCCTGATTTAGAATTATTAAATATTTATAAAGAGGGCAAGGGGTAATGGGGTTTTGCTTCCTGTTTGCGGTTCTCCATAATTGCTTGTATTTTTCTAGTCTATGTGGAGTGTACATTTACATCATTATTGTTTGCATACGATCCTGTCACTAAATTTTCTTTAGTCAAGTATGAGCTATAATTGTAGCAGGACGTTACCGTGCGTTTTCTTATTTGGGCCATAACCGATTGAGAAAATTTAAATATGTGTATAAAGTTCTTCTGTATATCATTATTATTCGAACATACCAAATCGTTTAAGTAAACTGAATGGTAAAACTGTCACTCCGTTTTCTGCATTTTAATGCTATAATGCCTGTATGAGCGCATAAAATCAATTTTATTGATGCTTCAAAACGTAAATATTTCGGAATTGAATCAGAGTTGTGATATTTCCCATTTTCGGCCTGCAGTTATGACGTAATCGAGACGATTTTATTGAGTTCGCAATTAAAGAGCAGATCCCTACATGTCAGTGTCTGCTTATAGAGTGCTTGTTCATATTGAAGGCGTGGAGACGTATAAAAAAAATTGTCCGAAATTATGTTTTGATCTTTGTCGACAAAATTGTTGTATCGATCACCTTCGCTTTAGTGATAGTAAATAATATTTATTAAAATTATTTAATTTCTGCGCCTGTTACATGAATCAGATAATCATTGTTTTGAATTCAGTTTGGTTGGCGTTCGAATTCCTGATTGTTACCCGTTTAAGTTTATAACAAATGAGGTCATAGTAACTATTAATGTATAATCTATTATACATACTGATACATATTTTTTTGGACTCCATAAACTTTAAACAAATATAGCGAGCGAGAAAGACTCAACATGTTTTTGGCGGGGCCTGACCCTTCTGCTTTTACCTGGTATAACAGTAATTTGCGATTGGACCAGACAATAATTGTGCGTAAAGAATGAATCAAACATTTCGCTGACTAATTCCACTTGTCTCAATTCCAAAAAGTATCAATTTGATTTGTTTTTGCGACTTGTGAGTCATTGACAGAGCAGAAATCAATGTCATCTATCTGATTGATCGGTCGAGACGGTTTTAGTTATCTTAACCTAATCATTCAGATGTTTCGTATCTTTTTATGGGCCATGGAAGACGCGCGTACGACCGGAAGAACTGCGCCTCGTGAAACAAATTTATATCAATAGAAATTACGTAAAATACACTTATAATGCTCAGTTATTTGATTCAATGACATTCATGGCAAGTACGGATAGTGAAAAATGTCAATTTTGTCAATCGGTCAACTTTTTGTTATATTTACATTTTATATAGTATTATCGACGCCGTTATTTTTCAATTTTTGCAGTCAATTGTCAAAAAGAGCAAAATAGCAAAAGATTTTCAGAGGAGATCGCGCAGCACCGGAAGCTTGACATCAGAAAGGTCAAATCAAAGCCACCTTGGAAATCGAACGGGCCGTATCAGAATGCAATCAGTTGGATCATCTGTGATGGGAGAATATGACGATGTCAACCATTCACGGGTAAGATTACAACAATATTAAGTTAGATCTGTTTTATAATATGTTTGAGTTACAAATGTTGTCTATTCGTATGAATTGGCTTGTAATGCATGTAGCTTACTTTTACCAAACTTAATTCAAGATATGTTGCAAGATCGTATGCTACATTACGAAGGATAATGTTAAATTTACTTCCGCAACAAAATTTACAACATCTATTAATTCTTATGGATGAGAATTGTAAATCAATGATAACATGAAAAGTTTAGCTATGTCAAAGCGCCCATCAAAGGTAAAAAATATTGTGAATTAGTGGATTTCTATCATCATCAAGGGGTAACCGTTTCGAAGATGTATAATAACCCCATGTACCTCATCCATTTATGATTACCGGTATGTGTATTATGAGCATTTTAGTCTAACGGAAACATATTGGTACAGCGATGTTTTAGCGGTTAGAACATACAGGGTGACCCCCCAAAAGAGAATTCAAGTCATTTGGAACATAACACAAAGAGAACATAACTTTTTTTAAAAATGTTCTAGATTACTGAAACTTTTGCGTACCATCTTAAACGAACAGAAGGGCAAGTTTTAAATGAATTTTCTTCATTCTCGTAGAAGTAATTAGGAAATTTCAGGTCACTCTGTATTAGTAGATCGCATATACAGTATAGTTTCCACACATTTTTGTCGTAAAAATTATAATAATATTACTGAAATTATGCTCGAGGATTGGTTAGTTTAACCAATCATGATCATCTGTCTGCGGGTCAAGTCATGACAAAGTTTAGAATTAGGATATTATCGCTAAGTGATCGATATAAGTAAATAGGAAATGTTGGCGGGAAATTCCAAAACAAATCCATGCAAAACAGGGTTTGACAAGTGTTTTGTTGAAATGCATCATAGCTGCTTGTCTTGGCAGCGAGAATTTGCAGTTCATGCGCTTTGCGTGACGCCGCAGTGAAGGGTTTTCGAACTTTTTAAACTCAAGCCGACTTGGAAAAAAAACTTTATTAACATGAAATTACGCATTTCATCAAGGCGATATGTGAGCTTGGTTTTATGCACATAAACTATTATAACGCGGATGAATTTCCAATATAGTCAGTCTTACATAACCCTAATTTCAGTAGGTTTAATCATTTTATTTCAAATTCTAAACGTGGATGTTAATAAGTATTTTTTTAGGAAATCGATTGATATTTCGCAAGGCATTCGGAAGTACATCTCGCAATGCATATATATTTAGAGACCACTGCCTTAGTGCAAGACAGCAATGTGGGCGTACGCAATCATTTCTATAATTTTTATATCATCTTGGCTATAAAAAAAGTTCTGTACAAGCGTCCTTTTCAATTTATAAGATAATGTAACCTTTTCATTTCGACCGAACATTCCTATTTTCTCACATTTTTGTCGTTCAGCAATTATTTTTGATTAAATAAAGTGTACTATTCTAATTACCTTTTGTGTGTAATTTGATAAACAATTGGGATTCGGTCATAGTTTTTTGTCGCTCACGTGCCATACTCGACTGTGCAAAAATGATTAAATTTCATGACATGGTATGCATATTTGCATGTCGATGTCTTTTATGCAGAAATGATAATTTTATGCCTACGCGTATTTCAACATCTTATATTTTATGCTTTAGACGTAAAATCAATTCGTTTTTAATGGTAACTGACGTGTAGCTTCATATTACTGATCTACTCGCTGTTCACCTTATCAGCTACGAGAGAGAGAAAATATATCGGTAGCTGTCGCTGTTGAATTGCTTCCGATGTCGTATAATTCGCCCCGACCTCGTCAATTGATCGTTCGAACACTCCTAGGTTGTTACGCAGAAATCATACATAGCGTTTGTGCAAAGTCCCATAATAAATTAATAGTGTGGACTTAGAGATCAATAATAATACTGTATCATATAATAATGTGGTGAATCTTGCATTAACTTGAACAAGCGCACAATCTAATCACATCTTTCTGTTATCTCATTTGAAACCATAAAATCGTTTTGACATAACATAATATTTACTAATAGGCGTTAACTATGTATATCTCTGTTTCATCAGATGTAGTAATTAAAAACAGACAATATTTTTATGGTAAACATAATCGTATACGAATATTCGACAAAATCTACACGTCATTCGCTTGCAATTGTCTTCTAACCTAAAAACTGTGTTCATGTTCACTTTTGTATTACCATCTAATCTAATCGTTCATTATGGTGACCGTACATTTGAACCCACGTACATTTGAACCCATGTGTATATCCGCGGGTTCAATCTATATGCGGGTGCTAAAACCCATTGGTTAGGGTTAGTATGGGTTCAAATATCCGTAAATCAAAACAAAAAAATTCCATAGGTGCAATAGTATGCAGGTGCAATTGTCATGGGTTAAAATGTACGTGGGTTTAAATGTAATGGGACCGTTCATTATTTATACAATCGAGCTGCAGTGACGTTTTCGGTACACTAGTTGTTACAAAAATGCGTTCGAAAAACGGGGCCAGAAACACTCGCTATATAGAGTAATTCTTTTAAGTGGCCTAGCGTTGAGAGCGTTCGCTTGAACTAGGATTAGGATCCGATGTCGATCACTTTATTCAGGGTCTCATAAATTTAGTAGACAATGCCGAACTGGTAAGATTCCGGCCATTCAAAAAGTGTCCCGCCTTACATATCGTTAGATAGTAGTAGATTACCTACCTTGGTCGAGCAAAAGTCGCAAAAAATAATGTCTTATAAATAAGTTGCAATCCACGAAAGACCAAAAATCTCAGTTCTTCAAGTTTGCATTTTGTTTGTTTAATATTTAGTCGTATTAGTAAGACTTGAGCATAGGATAAGGAGAGAATTTCGAATCATCCTCGTACAATTCTGAATCGCAAATTCAACTTCTTTCCACCAATCAAAACTACCACCCAGTCAAATGACGACAATCTTTCTATTTTAGGGAAATAACAAAAAATAAAGCACGACAATAACACAGATTATATCATTGCGTCATACCATCATATACAATATATGTTAGATAAATTGTATTCCCCGTCATGACATTTGTGCATAAATTTTCTACCTAAGCGTGTTTAGGTAGCTCCAGGGCAATCTTTAGAATTTTTTCCTGGTTAGCCGTTGTCAATAGAATAGACAAACGTTGTCTTTACTGTCACTGACCTATGTTGCCTTTTAGAATGTATTAACGACAAAGAAAGAGAATAAATAAATAATGAAGTCTTAAATATTTTGGAAAGCATTCAATCTTATACAGAATTTAGACTCTAATTTTAACAAAGCATAGTCCGGATTATGATTAGTCAAGTATGTTTGATATATGGACTGTGTTTTACAGCGCTCACGCTATAGAAACCATATCTAATTAAGGTTCGAGTTCAGACACTTACTGTTCAAATATACCCTCAAATTTTTGGCTGTATGTATACATTTGCTAACAGCGTAATAATGTTATTTGTAATCATATCTAATGGACAAAAGAGGTATCCAAAACTGGGATATATTCTGCTGCGGTCGTTGTATGGGGTCGGTGTCATCAAATTTTCGCGAAATACAATTTCCTTATAGGCAAATTCGCGGTTACGGTGTATATTTATACTAATATCTTGCCTATGCACCGATTTCTAAGTAATGACTTTTTGAACAAAAAGTATTCATGGAGATCAAGCATGTTGAAGCTTGAATATTTGTGGCTCTAACTTCTAGTAATAGTAGAAATGCGAGGTTGTGGATGCAAAAGTCGCTGCTTTAAAGTAGTATATCGTGAATAATAATTGAAATGAGCCCTGATTGATCCGCTGGTTTTACTATCGCTTTTTTGAACATGAGATCCTACTCCTACCTAAAACCGTCTCATGATTTATTCGTAACTTTTCTTTTCTTATCACTAGTTGTGCTAGGTTGTTGTAAACTGCCCGTTCTGACTTTGATAAGACAATATGTTACCGAAAATTATATTTCATAAAAGTTGCTGCGAGGCGTTTGAGCCACTCCAATGAGCCATTTTGATTCCTGTTGCAATATGCTTGCACTTAGTGCGCGGGGATCCATTAACACGGAGCCAAAAAGACAGTAGTTAATACACATTTTTGGAGTTTACAGTTCAGGACATATGCTGTGTATGAAGCATAGTTGTCAGTCAGGCCAATATGATTTCGTAGCTGAAAGTCATCATTTTTATGAAACAGACAGACTCAGTTTTTCAAAATGAATAACGCTGTAGATTTACATTTTGTCCTGATTTACGTGAATAATTTTGGATTCCTAAAATGGAGCCTATAAATGGGCATGGCGTGTATTGTATAGTTGGGCTAGGGGACCAGTCATAAGGTTTATGTGAAGATGTCTGATACAATTGCAAATTGCAGATGGATTTGGGATATTTTTGATGTATACGATTGTACTCGACTCTAGGTTTATTTGACTCGTATATCTACTTGAGTGACGATTCGGGGTTCAGAAACTTCTACCAACAGTGCTTGCAACCGACAAAACATAAATTGTAATTGAGTTTGCGTAACATTTCTTACTATGTTTTTAAACTACTTCACTATAGTTTTTAATATGATAAAAGTAATTTTGTAGTTTAATGCCAAGGGAGAAAAATTTGTGCGTTGTCCTGTTTCCGCACATTGCGTTTAATTCATCGGATATAATGTCACTTTACCTCACAGAGCTCGTTTGGAACTCTTCCACACAGTGGAGACGTCTTTGACGATTTCGCTGCCGGACCACATTATCACAGCAACGCAGACGACACCGAGGACAGTATGTCTCTGTTCAGTCTACATGGGACCGCCCGGATCCATAGGGATCTACCTGGAAACAATATTTCCGGATCCGGTTCCGGATATACCCGGCGTACAAGAGGACAAGCAGCTCCATCATATAAAGACATTCTCGCTGTACACGAGAAGCATAAGTGAGTGTTTATTTTTATTTCTTTTGGGTTGATTTTATATATTTTTCTGCAATTGACGACTTGGTGTCAGTTCGTATCTGCGATGTCCCTTCTGAAGCAACGGTCTAATTTAATTTTAATAGCTTATTCCAGTATATAATAATATTTTAGTGTTGAAATTATGTGTTGATTCATGTGTACTACCATCAGGTAGCCTATCAGCTATATATCAGTGCTTTTTAATCGAGGTTACGCACCCCCTAGCTTTCACCAGTACAGTCCAGGGCACGCCTGGGCAAGTTGCGGCCCGCTGGACCGTGGCAACGTTACATCCGACTCGCGAAAAGATTTCTAGATTTAATTCCTTTTTTCTTCAAATATAAAATATACAACTGTAAACTTTGTTATTGTAATAAAAATCAGTGTTTCAGTAGCGATGTTTCATGTACCATAGTACCAGCTGTTGTTGCCCTTATAGTCGTGTGCTAACACAGCGGGGTATCGTTAGGCTAGTCAGCTCTCGGCTACCCAGTATTATAAAAATGCTAAATACGTCTGCCATTGAACCTGGCATTCAAGTACGTGTTAATACACTTATTTCGTTAAAAGTAACATTTGTATTTTGCTTTGTTTCATTCAAATGTGTAGTAAAATACAATAAAAACGCGCAATGTAGGTTGACTTTACTTACGGCCGGCCACACTTTTTGAATTTGCAATGCGGCCCCATAGCAAAAATAATTGTCCAGCTCTAGTCCAGGGGTTCCGCAAGTTTACATTTAATTCCGAGAGACTATATTATTATGTGTATATATATTGTTTAAATATAATCAAATATTTCTACTATTATCAAACTTGCTACACTTTAAAGATTTTTGTCACTATTAGGTTTGCTTTTTTATATAGAATGATTCTTTTTCTTTAATTAAACTGCTGCATGTACAGAGGTTCACTCCACAATTCTCGTGACCCTGGAATGTATAATGGGGGTTTCTCCCCGCCAAAGAAGTTGAAAACCACTGATCTATGATTTCCATATATGCTATATTATAAATCACTATGCGCTTATTAGGAAAACGTGTGCCGCGTAGTACAGTAGACCAGGGCTTTGCAACTTTCAATACAGGAGGGTCAGATACAAATACCTGGGGGAAACTGCGGACCGCACCTTTATTTAACAATGGCGTATAATAAATTGGACTCAGGTATAGACTTTGCATCGCGTAGGTGTTGGAATTAATCGCACGTACTAGATTAAACTAAATTGAAAGCTCGTTTCGCGGGGCGCCCAACATTCAAAATTGACACCGCACAATTTTTCCTTGTGGGCCTGATTTGGCCCGCGGGTCGCAAATTGCACACCTCTGCAGTAGACCATGAGCAAAACAAGGTGTTTCGCTATGATCCTAACAGCTGAAGGCTAATCAGACAGATTATTATCAAACGGATCCAGACGTTTTCAAGCAATTTTCTGTTTGCTTTATGTGTCATGGACATTTAAACTTTAACTTATGAAACAATGCGATATGAAGTTATGGTAAATACGTGCTTAAATTAAGTCAATCAATAAGGCTTATGGTGTCAATACCATTGCCATAATTCCAGATTTAATCAATGTGCCTTCGAAAGAAATTCTGTGGGAACTTTATACTTAACCGTCATTATAAGATAATACTTAAGTTTTCTAATTGATCTCACCATAACTTAGAATCTGGAAGCTTCTTCTTGGTCAGCCTTTTTGACGCCGTCATAGCTGTATTTGTAACGGAATTATCGCTATTATTGTCGTTTATCAGTTTAATCCGTAAATACTTTGTATTTAAAACGGAGGTTGAAAGTTGATTCAGAAACGTGGCCACGTATGGGTACCAACATGCGATGTAATAATGACTCACACTTGAACAATGGTAGATGTTGTACCATGGCACGATTGGCAATATTCAAAAATAATGACGTTTAACCATTAAAATATAAACCACGCAGTCTCAAACCCACAATCGGATTGAAAGATATAAACTCGTGATAAGTTTTCAATTTCGTTCAACTAATACCATGTTACCAGACTGGATCGTTAAGTCATAATGGAAAAAATGTAGCAGCCTCACTTTCAATATAATGCTTACTATGAGTTACTAGCACCGATACTGACCATTGTCAACTACATTTGTTATCATTATTGCCTATTCAATATCCCACGTATTAAATCTGTCGGAAGGTTGACACTTTTCTAAGAAAGCCACGCCTTCAAAATGGTATACATTTATATACTTCTGAATTATATATTTTTACTCTTGATTTATTAAATTAGTTCCGATGGATACAGCTCATATATTCTATGGAGAAAGCGTTTTCGTGTTGTCTTGTCTTGTATAAACAACCTTTGCCAATATTTTCCACGGGTCTCTGATTTTTATCGATTATACGCGCTACCGAATTATAAAATGATGAAGTAAGTTAGGTATTCTATATAATATAATATTGTACAATCTAACCTCTTGATATGTTATTTTGTTAGATCTCCGAGCGGTAGTGAATTTTTGCACCCATTCGTGCCAGCATTGTGCGCAACCTTAACCTTGGTCCACTAAAACCTGTCCCAAGCCCATAAATACACCCCAGAACGTGACTCGAACAATTTATATATCATTTGACGTTTAATGCGGAATAAATTTTAAATGACTTTATTAGTTGAATAGCATTTATCATATACAGCGTTACCCTAAAACAACTTTTTTGGAACATATTTTAAAGAAAATTTAACTTTTATGCAAAGCTTGCCAGATTACTGAAACTTTTGGGTACTGTAATACACGAACAAAAAGTGCTGACTTTTTTGCATTGAAAAATATAAGTGTTCTGTTTTGGTGTGTAGTTGTGTATCATGTACTTGTTCTATTTAATTAAATAAAGTTTTGAATGTTTTGAACTGAAAATTTTGTTAGTTTAATGACAAGCCCCCAAACTGGTCAGAAGAACCTCGAATAGCCTTTGAACTTTAAAGTGGTGTCATGCTTGGAATCTTGTTTAGAGTAAACAAGCGCAAAATGATACATTCAAATCAATTTAGTGTTATCATGATGCGTCATTGTCAGTTGTCCGTCACGTATGTTTTAACTAACGTATCTCAAAACATTTTACGTTCTTTCGTGTGGTTAGGAAGTTTACGATCTGCCCACCTGCGGTAGATTACTTCATGATAATTGGCAGCTGATATGTTCCATAATTCATCTGAACACGCTTTTATATTTATATGTAAAATACCCTGGGGCCCCAATGACAAAAAGACTCGCCTATAGTGGTGAGGAATTTGAAAACATGGCAAAGTGTCAAAAATTTTATATAATTTCAAATAAATTGATATGTTTTGCAAAATTAGATTTATTGTACAGATAAGATATGGGTGCTCCCGAAGTATGCCAACCAAGATGGCGGACATCGGAACGTAACACGGGTAACAGGTTAGGGTTAGGCGATAATTTTTTTCCAATTTTCCTTATTTTAGTCCTATTATCAGTTCGAAGACTAGCCAAGAGCCTCCCGTAGTATTTATACCTAAAATTATGGCCTAACCCTAACCTAGTACACATATTACATTCCGATGTCCGCCATCTTGGTTCGCATACTTTGGGAGCCCCAAGATATGTTCCAAAATAGAATTCATTTTAATTTTTCCTACCCGGATCCATAAAAACAACAGGTATATGAAATCAAATTAGAAATTAGAATGGGAATTATATAGAACATAATTATTTATCTCGAAAAAAAGAGAGAAAATCCTGTGACGATTATATAGCATGGAAGCAGTTCTGGGACGAATCGACGATGTTCAACCACCCCCCCCAGGTTTCTCATCGATTTCACTCTAAATGACGAGAATACAGTGTACCAGATAACTCGTTGTATATGAATGCTGATACATGCTAGAGATAACAAAATACAGTTCATTTTCTTACATTTCCAAGTACTTGACTCAGCTCAGACCTAGGAGATAAATGTTGCCTATTGTTATTATACAGACGTAGAAAAACCTAGTAATAGGTATATTGCGTTTGTCGTCCTTTGGTACCTGCTCCGCCCTTCACAACTAATGAATCATGTTTCGGACAATCCTTCTTTGGTTTGTTCTTTATCAGACCCTAGTAACTTGCAAGACTAATGCCTTAACACTGCTATCTCCATGGTTACCTAGATTGTTGGTGCGCGGGGTCATTTTTTGTTTGAGACGTGCGACTGCTGGGTCTACCAGGTCACCTTGAGGTATTTTTTTTTTCAAATACGTATATAATTGGACTTTTTTATTATTATTTTCTTTGAGGCTTTTTTGAGGGTGCAGTTGCTCGATGATCAATACTGGTTTTTCGCTTCTCTCCTCAATCCGAATTGCCTTTTTCATAACTTATTGTGTTTTAATGTTTTTTCAGTGTGGTGAAAAAATAAACTACTTATTACTGATACTGGTATTTCGAGACTAGGTTTACATACAATTCTGGATCACGAATCGAAATTTATTATCTCAAAATCTTTCATGTAAGCCTTTTACTGAATCGCCATTGTTTTTTTGTGTTTACAGGTTTTGACTTTGTTGTTATATTTATACTTCGCTGTACTAAATTTAAGCAAACGGTAATGACAATTTGAATTATTATTTTAAGAAAGGTGTTACATTACCGTCATTAAAGCTGTTTATTGATTACGACGCTTAAGTTGATCAGCGTTCAACTTCTCCCTTATCACTTCTCTTAAAGCTATTTTTGATCATAGCTTTTTGAATAAGCATTGTTTGTGAATCTTTCCTGTAGATTCCAAATTAGAACCTGGATTGTTTGATATTTCCATTGAATTTCCAGTTTTTTGATATGATTCATTGCATTCGATAGGTTAATCAAAATCGCAAAAATTAACGGTTAACTATTTAGTCAGTGATTCATGTAAGACTTTGCTATAGGATGCTTAGTAACAAAAATTATTGGATAAGGAGTGGACCTATGGATAGTTTTGTTATTATGTTGTTGTTGTCCTTGT